ATTAAAACATTATTATTTTTAAATTTAAAACGAAAAAACCTAAAGCTCAAGATCTTAATGGCTTAAGTGTTTCTACCACCGGTGGAGCCAATGGGGGCTGAGGGGGCAAAGGTTCCCCTAAAGTTTTGTAAAAAATTTTCATTTAAGTTGTTTATATAATTGCATATTTTCATTTAAGACACTTTTCAAAAAATAAAATATCAAGTTGAAATTAATTTCAATGTGTATGTATGATTGTGCATTAATTACATATTTTTTAAATTAATTTATATTAAAAAAATAAAAAGTAACTTTAATTTTATTGATTATTTAATTAAAAACATGAGAGTGACATTAATAATTAAAATAAAATGAATTTTTGTAAAGTTTTATAAAAATTAAACGTCAAAAAAAAGAAAAAAAAAGAACGACAAATGCACAGAACACATGTGATACAAACTCGACTTGAAGTCAAAACGAACACATCTGCTTCCCATCAGTTCTCTGACCAGATTGAAATCAACCGACAAGATTAATTGGCATGGGACTGGGCACCTACTCGATGGTAGCATAGAACCCTTCAAATTCAGGTAAATGCTACACCTAGAGTAATTCATGACCAAATATGCATACTGATTTTTTGTGCTTTAAATCATCATCCTGGAAGTGATGAGAATGAAATCAGAGATGAAGATAGTGTATGTGAAGGAAATATGGTAAACATGTAAGATCTTGGTTTGATGAGTTCTCATAACCATTCTACCTAGCTAGCTACATACATATAACAGCAACCAAACATATAAAAGGTTGTAAGAGTGAATGTCAAAGAATATATATATATATATATATATTTAAACATTGAAAATTATGGGAGAAAAAAGATTTTTTCAAGTGGTTGATAGAAATTGAACTCTTAATAAATCCAATTAATATATTAAAATTTGAGAATAAATCACTAAACTTAAAAGGTCAATTCGAATATTAAAAAATATTTAAAATAAAGAGAGGAGGAAACATATATTTTTTTGATAAAAAAATACAATATTAGGTTAATATCTATTTTAAAAAAATTAAATTTAAGACTCAATTTGTAAATCAAAGTGTGTTTTACTTACTTCCTACTTTGAAAAAGTGTGGTCATTACTATAATTATACAAGAGAATGCATAGGAGGAAACGTACAGTAATTGGTTGTAGGGTACAAGATGAAAGGAAACAAGACGATAGTTTGGAAATTTTGAACTGAAAAGGTACAGTAAATTAGATGGTTTGATCTAAAAATTCAATGAACTAAGTACTTCTTTATT